ACTTTTTTCCTCTTTAGAAACTCTTGTTTGATTTTGGCATCGTGCTTTGGATCATTATCATGCTGGAATGTTCCTCCTCTGTCAAGCTTCTGCAGACTGAGAGTTATCTTGTCAGCAAGTATTTTGGTATATTTACAGGGACTCATGATCCTCTCTATAAATATTTATAGATCTATAAACTATTTTGCACTCATGCAGCCTCATATCATCACACTACCACCATCATACTTCACTACCAGGACTATGCATTCATTGTGGTAGTCTTGGGCAGGTTTACAGCAAACATGCTAGACCCATTTGAGCCAAGCATATTTAGTCGTATCAAAGAATGTGCACCCAGTATTCATCAGGGTCCTTTTCATGTTCTTTAGAATAGTTTCATCTTGCAGTTTTGTGCCAAAGTGCTGTCAGAAACAAAGATTTCCACTGATCCGTGTGCCATATCTGACTCACTTGCCTGTTTGTTTTTTTAGACATAAATTGTGCAAGTATGGCAATATTTTAGAAGGATGACCAGTGCAGCTCTGATAAGTGGTACTATGGCTTATGCTTTACCTCCTGACTACTGCTGCAACTGTGTTTTGACTAATTTATAGTTGGTCACCAACCTTCCGTATCCTCCTTCTTTTTGAAGTCTTACAGTCAGATTGTTTAGCTTCTTTGGCAATTGTTTTTCACTCGTAGCTATACAATACAAATCCAGATACACACAACCCCTTGGTTTAAAATAAAGAAACGTCTGGTGCTCCCAGGTCATTTTATGTCCACGTGCTTAGGTTAAATAAAAATCACAGGTGTATTCAGTTCAGCTTCAGTGTGTCCACAGTGTATTTACTGTGGGACCTGCACTTTCATTAGAGTCTAACATATTTGTTTTTGATTGTTCACATGTAGAAATACCCATATGCTGTTTAACTTAAAAGTAATATAATAACTGAGAGATTAATTTTAAATTATTTGACATTTAAGTGATATTCAGGAGTGAACCCACTTATGTTGTATACTGTATAACGAAAAGGCCTAATAATGTTGTAATTTTGGAAAACCCACTGGGGATACTAAAATGTATAGTTTTAAAGATGGAAAAAGACACGAGAACAAGGGATTATTAACCAAAAGGGTTTATCCCCATGGGCAGAAGAAATGTGATCTGAAAATTCCAGTGTGATCCATACTTTAGTGATAAAGAATGCCTTGTACAAAGGTGATATTTTGATCTGAGGAAAGTTAAATGAGAACTCCTCCTCCTTGGGGTATAATTTCTCCCAGTTTTCATTTGCACATGCATATGCAGTTGGAACACCAAAATCATTAAGTTCTGGATGTTGTGATAATTGAGACAGTATTTATTTTGGACAGACCAACATCTGCCTCCTTATTAGGCTCTGCTGTGGACAGCACTAAAGTCTTGTTACAGTCTCCTCATGCCATTGGTATCCAAACTGTAACACAAACTAAAGGCAACAACTTCCTCTGCTACTCTTTCTTTCACACACTCACATACTCTCATGTCAACACGGTCCTCCCACCCCTCCTCACCCTCCGGCCAGCCCAGCCCTCCCCTCACTGAATGCTTGTCTGTCAGAATTGCCCACTGTGTGTTAATCCAGGAGGATTGTGGTGTTGTATTGTCGCCGTGTTAAGAGCCAGGGATCACTCTGATTGCTCTGAATGCTCAGCATCCCTCTGTTCTGTCTGCTGTGTTTCTGCTTTGCTGTCTCTCACTGTCCTGGCCTACTTTTATTGTCTCTCTGTTTCAGTTCCAGGCTGAACAAAAGAGGTTGTTGTTTACAGATTGCCCATCGATGAGCAGGATGCTGGACCTGCTGCATCAACAAATGAGATGCAAAATGCAGGACAGCCAGCTGGTCTCTTCGTAAAACAAGCATATTGCAGGGACGGGGTGTTCTAAAGTAAAAAATTACATTAACTTGGGTTGAGTTAAACCTAAATAGAAGGGATGTGACTTTCTGACTTGTATGGTTTGGAATAGGAATTAGCAAGAAAGACAAGAGAAAGTTTTATCAGTATAGCCAGTTTGCTTAGCTTTGTAGCCTGTCTGACAATACGAGCTTTAGTTTTTGCTCTTTTTTGATTAATTGATTTGAATAAATAATAATAAGAGGAATACAGGTTTTTGCTGCCTCTGCCACTGTTTGCTTTGCAACACTAGTGACATATTTGAAGCAATTTACTTATCCAAAATACAAAGAGACATGATCTTTTCTGCAACTAAATTACTGCACTTCCTGTAAATACAATTATTAAGTAGCCTACAGGCGTTTGAGCATTTTCACTTGTGAAGACTTGAAGACACAAATTCACATGTTTCAAAGACAAAAATTGCACTTTTCACCAAGTACACACTTCTGACAGTAGTGGTTACACAGTAATTTGTTGATTTTTTCTTAATATGAAATTTTTTTTTAATCTAAACTCTTTACTTTATGGGACTTTTCTGAACAGTTTTAGACGTTTTTCTTCACTAGAAACAATCGGATGGAGACATATAAACACATAGTATACAGCATGTGTTCAGTATGCACATGTAGCACTATTTTAAAATGTTCATACAGTAAATACAGTGTTGCCTGACATACCAATCTGACACCACTAGTGCAGAAAATTTTATTTTTCATCTGTTTCACATTTATCGCTTTTTTTTTCATTACAAATGTTAATAGCAGAGCTGCAAGGTGGCACGATGGCTAGCACCGTTGCCTCACAGCAAGAAGGTTGTCGGTTTGCATGCTGGTGAGGACACTCAGGATCTTTCTGCGTTGAGTTTGCATGTTCTTCCCGTGCAGCGTGGGTTCTCTCCGGGTTCTCCAGCTTCCTCCCACACGGTGTTGAGGTTAATCTGTGATTCTAAATTGTCCGTAGGTGTGAATGTGAGTGTGCTTGGTTGTCTGTCTCTTGGTGTAGCCCTGTGATAGACTGGCAACCTGTCCAGAGTGTCCCCTGCTTTCGCCCTAAGTCAGCTGGAATAGGCTCCAGCCCCCCCGTGACCGTAGTGAGGATTATGCGGTCTATCAATGATGGATGGATGTGAATAGCATCTCTGGAAAAAGAATGTGCACGAATTTCAAATTATTCTGTTGTATAGTATCCTATTTAGTAAACAACACCTCTGACAACCCTCCATCTTTTGCTTTAATGACAGCAGCAATTGAAGTACCATAGACTTGGATGCTCCCCACCTAATGTGAAAATGTCCCAAAGAGCTTCTAGTCATGTCAGTGGAGTTGACATCAGATGACTGTGGAGGAAAATCAGCTCTCCTTGGTCTCCTTTGGTCTCCAAGTCAAAGCTTTGAGGTGTGTTTGGGCTCATTGTCCTGCTGCAGCATGAATTCTTCTCCACAAACATTTCAGTCAGAGGGTGGAGCGTGTCTCTGACGAATGGAGAGCGACTTCTTCTTGATCAGGGTGGAGTTGATTCGCTGATGAATCAGCATGTTTCTCTGTGGGTTTGATCATCTCTAACCTGAAGTCATCAGTAAATAGAACTTCTTTTCTTAAAACTGTTGTGAAATGCTGCTATGCTGCAGCCCAGAAGTGGTTCAGAGACCCACTCCTCCTTTGACACACGACTAAACAGCCCACTGTTAACTGGACTTTTGCAGTTTGCAGTCTTGTGAACTTTAATCATCAAATTCAATTCATTTCTCTTTTAGTCTGCCTGATTCTGTTGTGAATACAAGTGATTTAGTTTCCACAGAGTGTTTTAGAGCTCCATGCACTGCAGCTGTAGAAACCTTCAGTCCAGCCATGATTTGCTCAGAATACCTATCTGACTTCTGACACTTTGACTACGCTATGATGCCATGTTTTCTACTGTCCAAATGTTACTTAGTCAGCAATTCTCTGCTGGAATCTAATGGCCCAGTCTTATTTCTAACAGGTGAACAAATGGCTGCAGGTGGATTTAGTTTAACAAGCTCTGATAGGTCAATCCATGAGTGTCAGTTGAAAGTTGATTCAATGGAATCGGATCACTTGAGAAAATCTGACCTTTCTAACATGGTTACTGTGAGCAATCTGATTTAGTTTCATTACTGACCTCGAAAGATCACTGAATCTAAAATATTTCTATCATTTTACATGTTCAAGCTTAATGTGTTACACAGAGAGAGAAAGAGAGAGATTTTTGAGAAAACTGGATTCCAGTATCACAAATTTACTAAAAGGAATGTGGCCCCACACACCACTGGAAACACACACTATAATGACTCTGTAGCCATACATGCTTTATTTTCACTGATATTAGAATAATCTATATCAATCAATAAACAAGCATCCTAAACACATACTGTATGTTGCTGAGAGGTCACCATGCCAGACCTTTGTCCTCAGAGGCTACAAAGCATTTCCATGTGAAACACCAGCTGCCTGAGGAAAACCTCAGCCTGTTGTGGTTCCTATTTAGACATCTGAAGATCTGCAGTTATTCTAACAATGTTGGCTGGTCGGTGGGCTCAGATCATCAAACAGTCAGATAGCAATAAATCCATGCAAACCAAAAACCAAAGAGAAGATGTGTGGTAAATCAACTCAACAGGTAGAGCAGTTTGTACAGCCACTTCAACGATAATAAGCAGGCTTTTACAGTGACAAAGTGTGATGAAAATAAACATGTGGGTGTTTTTTTTTTCCAAAACACAAGGCCTGGGGGAAATTGTTAACTGGTGTTTTCTGTACCTTAACTGAAGTACAGGTGGTTACATTTTCCAAAACATGATGTTGGAAAAAGAATGCTTCAACTTATCTAACCACTTCTCAAAAGGATTGGTCTCTGAGCTGTAAAAAAAAAAAAAAAAAAATGAAAACAAGTGAAAAAAAATACGCATGCAGATATTAATCACATTTGATCACATGGCTGTAAACGGCTGCTGTGTTCTGCTGACATTTAACTCTGACAACTGTTGGGCCTCGATGACCGGAGGCCAGTTCTCTGCACAGTAGCGTCTCTCATCACTGAGCTCATGAAATGGTCCGGGGAAGTGACTTTGAGCTTGTTGTGTCTCCTCGGCCCCACGCTGCGCTGCTTTCCGTACGGGGCGGGGTGCCGCTCAGTCCGGCGCACAGCGCAGAGCGCACCGTCACCAGCTGCTCTCCCTGCACCGTCTGACTCGACAACATGGGTTTAGAGAAGGAGAAATCGGATACAAGTATAATCATGGACGAAGATGAGTTTAACAGGTCGATAGAGCCCATTCTGTCCAAACAGGGGAAGGTGTACGCGGCGGCACAGGACCGAGATCCAACCGATGTCAACGCGCATTTGAAGGTAAAGTCGGTGCGAGTTTTGAAATGCTTCTTTAAAAGTGAAACTACAGAAGGTATTAGCCGTCCAGTTGAATTATCGCCTACTTTACACCCTTACTGTAACCTTTTTGTTATCTGTAACAAACGGTGAGGTTGGTAATCTGCCGCATGAATACCTGGAAGTCGCCGCCTGCTTGCGCTGTAATCCATCATCATCTCCCAACAGTCTCCTGCTTATTTTCAAAGCTAATTGTTTGCACCCTGATTTGTTTCATCTGACAGGTCGGTTTTGAAGATGTCATCGCGGAGCCAATTTCCACGCACAGTTTTGACAAAGTGTGGATAGGAAGCCACGCCGCCTTTGAGCTGATCAAATTCATCTTTTACCGCTTGCTGACCACGCTGCTCGCTGTGCCCATGGCTTTCATCCTCGGACTGGTGTTCGGAGTGCTCAGCTGCATTCATATCTGGTAAGGAGAGGAAGCTCCTCTATCCTGTAGGACTCTGTTTGGTGCTGTTTGGCTCATCTGGCACAGTGTTCTCACAGAACATAATGATATCTTTGAGAAAACCCCACACACAGACTTGGAGCATTTGAGTGATGCCATGGAGACATAAGTCACTGAATTTAAAAGAGAATAAAGCTTCTAATAAACGTGTTAGAAGAGTTTTCTATTCTCAATTGATACTAGGTGCTGAAAACACATTCTGACACACATTGATTACATAACTACTGCACTGATGCAAAAGAAAGAAAAAAACAAACCATGTGTAACACATTTAAAAGCTTGGTTATATAAAATAAAATCTTGTTTTGAGGACTAAAAGCAAAGTTTAAATCTCTCTGGTTACATTAACTGAGCATTATGGGATTTTTCCTCAGCTGCCACTGCTGTTTGCCAGCATACTTGCTCTGGATCTTTACACAAACATTGATTAAAGCTATTTTTGCAGTTGACGTCACATGCAGCATAGCATTGAAACATTATGTCAGTGTTTTGTTTTTATACTTTATTTGGATAATTGCGTCATGCATATGTCTGCTCTGCAGCGAGTTGAACCAGGTGCTTCCAGGTTTTCGAGCAAATCGTGTGCATATGCAACCAAAAGAGTCCATTTGTTAACACTTTATGAAACAACACGTTATGCCCAGACGAAAGTACGCTATGGAAAGTTGGGAGGAATGTGGAGTTCCACTGGTAGTGGGGGGAAAAAAAATGTCCCATGCCTTTTGCCAGATAGATGGTATTCGAGCAGCAATTGAAGCCTATTTTCAGACACGAGTGGGACATTCTTTAGATGCACAGGGAGCACTGCAGAGTAACTTCTGCATGACCTTTCACCGAGCTGAGGTCACAAACTAAGGAGGAAGTCAGTCAAGTCACAGGTATTCATCAATAGAGAGTACAGAGGTGGCCAATACATCTGGAATGTCAGGGTGGGAGATCACACAGAGAGGTGCTGATTCAAAGGAGTCCACGGCTTTCACAATCATATAATACATACAGCGAAACAAGCTGCAGGAATGTAACAATACAGTGTGATACACTCCTGTATAGCTTTTTCTAGAACAGATCTACAAACGAGACAATACAGCAGCTTGTGATATTGTACAAATACCAGACATGAGTTGTAAACATAGTTATGGAAAAACAGATATGATAAATAAAACATCATATAAAACTTTTTCTTTGTCGATAAAATGCTTTTAAGAAGCAGTGAACATTCACCAAAGTGACCCTTTGACCTTGTCCTTCCAGGTTGGTGATGCCGGTGATCCAGAGCTTCATGATGGTGCTACCGTCGGTCCAGATAGTGTGGAGGAGTCTGACAGATATGTTCGTCACGCCGCTCTTCCATAGCATGGGAAAGGCCCTGTCCTCCATTCAGGTTAAAACTACAGAGAACTGACGCAGACACCTCTCTGTCCCCGAGGAGAAAGAAATGTAGGGCAGACTGGAGTCCATGGAAAAAAAAAACTAAATGATGCTAGTGGAATACATGAGCTCTTGCAAAGTAAAATATGAAATCCTAAAGAGTCCTATGCAAAGTATTAACAACTATAGATAGAAAAGTTTTTGAAATGATGGCCGTAAGGGCTGAGTTTTCACTGCAGGTCATGTGAAACAGTGAAAACACATCAAATTGAGTTAAATTACACCAAAAGCTTCGGAAATGTATGTTACACAGTCAGCGTCATTTCATTGACTTTATTTCAGTGTTTATAACTTTACAAAGAGCTCCTGTGCCCCACTCAAAATAGAGTTGCTTTGCTGATTCTGACCAAAAACAAAAAATCTTTTCAGTCCATTCCTTTGTGGCTGGGAGTGGTGGAATTACTGTTGTTCAGGCTAACACACTTACCGCTGACTTGCTGAGAGTTGTAATATTTCTGCTTTATATATATATATATTTTTTTTTGTATATATGCAAAACATTCAGCGAGAAGTTGATTGTAATGAAGTGAATTAGAATAGAATGTCTGCTAGAGAGTAGATTATTTGAATATTAAATGCTGAGATGCAGCTTGTTGCACATTTGCAGGCTTATTTTACTGTCTGCTGTGTTGATCTCACAGAGCATTGGCAATAATACTGGGCATTTGCTTTTATATGGACCTAACTGTTATTTAACTGTGTCAAAGGAAACCTAATTATAGATCATCTGGGAGGGGGCTTTCTAATTTATGATGTATGTAACAAGCAATTCTTGATTGGCAAACCGTGACAGAAGAGAGGACTTTACTACAGTGTGATGAAGGCATTCCACATTTTGTACTGTGTTTGGTTGAATCCTCGGTTGAGCTGAAACTCTGGTACATGCATAGGGTTTTTTTTTATTATTATTATTATTGTTTGCTTTAGCGCTGCAAATTTTGAGGAATCAGACAATAATATGATTTTTACTTTTTTTGCAGTGGTTTTGCTAAAGTTCAGTTTTACATGTTAACCTGCACAGCTCTCACTTGCAATGAGCTGTGCTATCCTAAAGTCCCCCTCTGATCATTGATTTAGCCCCAAAAACTCATTCCTGCATATCAAAGTTACATATTTGCATATTTAGCTCTTTTGGGGGTTTTTTTGTTTTTGTTTTTTTGTTTTCTTTGAAAAATAATCCCTTCCTGTCCTAAAATGGCTCAGATGTAACTGATGCTTCCTATAGAATGTACAGATCTATGCAGTCCCTCTCTCTCAGTCTTCCCTGCTAGTGCAGCTCGAGCACACCAGCTCACCTACGATTCTGCTCAAACTCTAAAACTACTTTATTGCTACACAGTGACAAGTTGTAATGTTGGAGTTATTCAGCTGTACATCTATGAACCTGAAAGAGATTCTTCGGAAAATTACTTTGACAATATGGAAAGAATCATTGTGACGCTAATGCTAATCTGTGCACTGCAGTAAATTGATGAGATGAGACGTTGATGTTTACAGTTGCATTCATTCTTTTTTTTTTTAAATTTTAAAGGTAAAATTTAAAAAAATATATTTTAAAAAACACCTAAATACATACAAGCTCTGGTTCGTGACTAATGTATCAATAAGCAGTCAGCGCTGAGCAACATTAGCATTCAATTGGATTTGTGTTCTCTTTTTTTATTCCTATAAAACATCTGAAGCTAGTTACTGACTTTATCTGTTTATGGCGTGGCGCTGGACAGACAATGGGTTCAGCCCACCCTAAAGATGGACAACCACTCTGATATCAGCCGTCATACGAACCAATAAGCCAGCTGTATATCCAGTACACAGTTTGTAGCAGGTGATCATCAAGAGTTTCCCACAAAGAAGCAGCACATCCAGCAGGGTTGTGTATGAAATCAAAGCTACATTTGCATCAGACAATTTCAACTTGTTACTCATGCAAGCTAACCAGCTGAACCTCTAAAGCAAACTACAGTTGGAGAATGTGTCATGTGATGTTTTGTTTTCTTGTGTGCAGCCTTGTGTGCATGTTCTGCAGCTCTGGGAGGATATTTAAGGTAGGGTTGTGCAATAGTGGAAGACAGGTGTGAGGCTGAAGCTATTCTTTCTCCTCAGCAATACCATGTAGAACTAATCAACCTCGGTTCAGCCCAGCTAATCATTCTTCGAAGGCTTCAATTTTAGGCAAAGAGATCATAAATATGACGATACAGCTTTTATCAGTTTGGATTTGATTTTCAGATACATTTTTGACTGTTACTTCACTCTGACTCAATGAACTCATATTGTAACTGAAACTCTTTTACTTTAACAAGCCAAATGTGTTCTTCGTGACCAAAATAAAGACAATTTTTCCTCAAGGTAATTCTTCTGTGTGTGGTTTCTTCTTTCTGTCACAGGAGATGAGTGTGGTTGGGATGTGCAGCTGAGTGCCAGAAAGGTCTCGTAAATCACTTTGCTGAGATTGCATAAGACACTTTCCTATACAAAGATGAGCTATGGGTCGATGGAACATGACCTGAGGCTTCGCTCTAAGACCTGCAGGCCTGCACAGCATTTACACTCCACCTACATTGCTGCTCACAATATTTCCTCAGCAACAGAGTTTTCTGATGTCCTGTCGTGTGTGCATGGACCTTGCTGTCTTATTCTTGCGTTATTCTGCTGCATCGTCCCTCAGGACTAAATGACTGCTATTATCTTTACTAGTGCTCAGTTCTAAAGAAACAGGAATCTTTTGCTCTTTACATATTCTTGTTGTTCTTTTAACAGCACCCAACAACAGTTCTCTTTAACTATGACCATGACGTGTAGTACATACAGTGTGCTGGTACGATGCACTGCCTGAGAGGGTCAGCTAGGGGCAAAATCTCCCTCAGACAAACTGCAAATCAGCATTAACTGTCACTGACTGCCATTTTGAAAAGGATTTTGATGTGCAGTTTTGCCCCATAAAGTTCAGCTTCTCTGTCTCGTGCTGCTGCATGCAACTGAAAAACAGTAGCAGCTATCCAATCACAGTCCATCCTCAAACAGAGCAGTGTGCTGCACTTAATTAAAATGACATCAAGGTGACGTCTGAATGCACTGACATTGTTTTCTTGTGGGTTCAGGCCACAAATGTCTGCAATAACTCTTGAGTATTTTGATAGGCTGACTGCTCTGATGCTAAGCGAACCACCCTGACACTTTCAGGAACTCCTGACAACAATGTAATCCAAAAATTACAATCCTGTACAACTAAACTGCTGTCTCACTTACGTTAAACCAAACTTGCTGTTTTCCTAAACCTACCCACATGGTTTTGGTGCCTAAAGCGAACCAAACAATGCGTGAAATCAGAAATGAACAAGTGAAGCTCTAACAATAATGGTCCCACAAAGAACACAAACAGCAGCCTCCCGGGTGAATGCCTTGTTGCCAGCTTGTGCCTCTGTCCTCACCTCTTATCTTATGAAGCGAATTCAAACTAGAAGTCTTTTTCTACTTCATGACAGTTATCTTTAAGAGAGAAAATGGATTTCTTTCAAAACATATTGAGAATGCAGGTGAGTTGTTTAGGAATGTAATTTTTGAGAGACAGGCTTGTACCTGAAGTGTTTAGCAGCTGACCCTGACCTCTGGCCTTTCTCCCACAATCACTTGCAGTATAGCAAAAATGATAATAATAACAAAGTGATACAACATACTACTGCTGCGACTTCAGTCAAATGTTTTTGTATCAGTAATATTCTTGCTGCTGAAGCCACTGTTGCACCAGATGACAGACTGCCATATTGCTGCTGTGGTGTCACCAATGCTGCTGCTGCATGAGATGCCTCTGTCACTACTATGTGACTGCTAAACATACCACTGATGTTACTATAAAAACGCTGTTTTACTACTGCTGCTACCCCTTCTGCATATTTATTCTGTTACTACTCCTCCTGCCATTGCAGTAAACTCCTGCAGTCTCCTGACCGATGCCTGTTTCTCTTCCTGTTCCTGCAGTTTGTAGTGAAAGTCTCTGTATGATATTCAACTGTTCTTTTCAGTTTTGTGTCAGCTGAGCTAAACGTAGCACCTGGGATGGTTACATTACATCCTGTGAGCAGGCAAGTGACCAGTGACAACAAATCACATGTCTTCTGCTTCGTGCAAATTAGTCAGAGTCAATCCTTTGTGGTTTTGTAACCTTAGCTACTGTGTACACACATTAGAGTTTGGGGGTTTTTAAGTGTCACCATACTGATGCTTACTGTGTTATGCTTTCTTTTTGGAAGACTTTGCACAATTTAATTATTTTATTTGTAGTTGCAGCACTTTTTAATATGTAAATTTATATGTACAACATGTAAGTAGGTTTTTACAACTCACCTGGCTCAGAGCGTTTTGGTTCCTACCTGATATTGTTTATGGTGGGACAGATGTAGATGTAACAGAAGGGGAATAACGTGTGCTCCAGAATTTGAGGTCAGGTATATACTGTCCTGCTGGGTTGGTGTTGATTTAAAAAGATTATTCAAAAGAAAACAGTTGACTGCTTCTGACCCACAACTCAGAGAATCTGGACACATCACACATCACAAAATCTGAGTTACAGCTTACGAACTACACATAATGTGACCTAGTGAGGTCTATAAGCCAGTATGGACTCTGTTTTTTAAGGTCAAAGAGGACGTTCAACTGTTGGTTGTTATCACACAGTTTTCCACCACTGGCACCGGTACAGCATCAGCTGATTAAGAACCTGTTCTGTCAGTGTTCCGACTGACACTGACATGTTTTTGATAGTCTTATCATAAACTTAAACTGTCTCGGCTGAAAATTCCCATAGCTCCTGTGCTGTCATCAAACCATAACTCACTCTGGGGATGAAGGGATGTTGTGGGGTGGTGGTTGCCTCAGGAGGTGACACACCTTAACAACACTTTCTACATCCTTTACCTTTACAGCTCCCACTGTTTTCCATCTCAGTTTCCAAAAACAAAGCTGTTTACAACACTCATGCAGAAACTCTGACATCAAATGATAGTTTTGATAGTTCCTCCATTTTTAATACCAGCTGTTCTTCTAACAACACTTCTCATGCTGCAGAATATGTTTACTGGTGCAGAATGTTTCAGAATATGCTAATATTTGCCTCCAGGTGAGAAACAGTCAGTGTAGCCTCTTCCTGGAGGCTTCAGCAGAATGACATCTTTATTTGAAACAGGTGTTTACTGGATTATTTTGATGTGTGTTCAGGGCCACACCTAATAAAGCAAAGACAGGCAAGGAGGTATGTTTATTTATATAGCAGCTTTCCGAAGAAGATGCCACAAAGTGTTTCTCAGGAAAAGACACTAACTACCAAGAAGATCAGAGGCAAACATCAAAGGCAAACTGTTTCACAGAGACAACTGATGTACATGCAATGCACCCTTCAATATTAAATTAAATATGTTTGTCTTAATTTTTGATTATACAAAAATCATTTTGATTGATGATTAGCATGACAATTTTGAACCACAACCTACTTTATTGTCATTATTCAAGACAATAAGACAATTCAGACAGCTTATTCAAAAGTGAGAAACCCATGAGGGGGAACACATTATTATATTCTAGTAGTTGTCCTTCACACCATGAAGAAACATAATGAAGCAGGTACAACATGGAGTCATATTGGTGCAATGCAGTAATCAAACTAGCAATCCTATAGATGGTTTTCACAAGAGTAGAAGTACAATGAGTAAAATAGATATCCAAACTTAGATTGATGCATCAGCAACACAATAGCTCATACAAAAAGTATATAAGTAAAATTAAGGAAAAAAAAGACAAGAACACAAAATAGCTGTAACAGAAGTGCCTACAAGGATGGTGTTATCCTGGAAATCTTTCATCCCTCCTCTAAACTCTACATAAGTCACTGATGTCGTGTTCTTCTCCTGAGAAAATCCAGTTTCCCCTCAGAGGACCAACGGTCTTGTTCCATGAGAGGTGGCAGCTGTTTATCTGGTATGTCATGTCTGGATTTTCAAAATTTATTGCAGATGTCACCAGAATTTACCCGTTCTATTTTAGGATTTATTTTCGTCATTGTTTTTAGCTCAATGTTGGATTGGATGTAAGCTTGTTCTACTTGTCGCTACATATTTTTATTGTTCTGTTTACTTTCCGTCTGTTTACACTTTGTGATATTTTATGTGTATGTGTTGTTTTCTTTTTTCTTTTTTTGGTCAGCACACCTGCTTACCTTAGGGCAGACAGGTGTGACATAGGTTACTGCATTTTTGGTTATTCCTAAAATTCCTTAGTGTTGTATGTATTGCCATTTTTGTACAGTGCTCAAATCTCAGAAAGGTCACTTGGAGAGTAGATCGACTGTAGGTAGATGGTAGGTAGACTGTCTTCAGTGTCTGCTTGGTCACAATCTGACAAAACACTGACTTTAACTATGTTAGCCCTCAGTTTTCCAAAAAGTGAAAAACTCTATGTTATGTGTCAGTGATTCAAAGTTGTATCATCTCTCAATAATTGCATTAAATCTAAGTTGAACAGTAGGGTAATAGATGTTAGACTGAAAATGAACAGTTTAAAGTTGCTGTATTAAAAATATAGACTCCGGAGCAGGAACTCAATGCAACAAAGGTCAGTACACCTTTCACTCCTGAGATTTAAATCTGTAGTTTTTTTCCCCAATACTTTGTATGTCCACTGTTGTGATGAAAGACTCCGTCCTCCTCAGCATAGAGGATACTAGTGCTGTATAAACTTCTAGATAGATGTTTTGTCATTCTTCAGAGACTCTTATTTCTCTTATTTTCTTTTTTTTAGGGAGAATGAACAGAAAGAGAATTTCATTGCGTAGTATGACTACCTGTTTTGCTGTGCATATGATAAAAAAAACTCTTGAACTTGAACTGATTTCCAGCTGCTCTTTGTTGGAGGGGAGGTTTAGCACTGTCTTCTCTTTAAAATACCCCAAAGGTGTTCTTCTGGATTCAAGTCATATGACATGCTCGATCAGGTGGTAGTTTTCACTATTTCCTTCTTTGGACACTATGTGCTATTTTGGCATTGTGTTCTGTGTCATTAATAAGCTTGTCAGGCAATATTTGGGTATATTCACAGGCATTCATGGTGCCATATACAAATGTCACTTCCCCAACACCTTTTCACACCTTTTCATCACATAACTTCCACACGTTTTCTAACTTGTGTGTCAGTGAGCGCAGGTGTTTTCACTTTTGTTGACACTGATTTGACGCTCAAGTAATATTTCATAGAGGTTGCTCACTTCTGTTGCATACTGTATAGTCATAATAAAATATTAAAGCCATTTGTTACCAGTGACGTTGTAAATCCATTGTAAAGCTAGTCACCGGCTATCCCAGAGTTCTAAACAAATAAAATGCCCAAAATAAACAACCTTTTGCATACAAAAGAAGAGTTACTCCTCCTTGAACTATGACAAAGGCTAAGGTCGCACACTGAGGAAGAAATGCAAATGAGAGTTCTGAAAGATATCAAAACAACCCCATTATGAAGCAACAGCAAGCTTATTTCACGCAGCCATCAGACACACCTAACAACTGATCCTGTCACATCTTTTGGCTGCAAACAGTTGAGTGTGCCAGCTGGTGTTACTCCAAGGTGAGCTGAGAATGTAAACAGACCAGAGTGGCCAGTATAGCTTCATAACCCTGTAAAGCTGATTCAGCAGCTAAGTGTCAACTGTGAAAAACTGAGTTCCCAAAAACTTAAAATATGTCTATAAACTTATTTTTATTATGCATCTGATGACAGCCGGGATTCTATGTTTGCTAAAACGGCTAAACTAGTTCTGTTTGCGTCTGAAAACATCCCTAAACATATTCATTTATTCCTTCATGTTCTTTTTTAGAATCTTGTATATTTTTGCGAATCTCTGTCCATAACAGCCACTTGAAATGGTGTCCCTCAGGCTATGGTATGGCAAGTATCAACACTTTGCCATTACTAATTAACGCCCACGGTTCACTGAACAAAAAAGTTATTATACTCTGCCTTGATCCCAAATAAAGTAATTCCACACCAGCTACAACACCCCTTCAGTTTAAGATCACGTCAGTCTCTCCTCCAGCCGAGCAGGTTACACGGTGGCTCTCTGTGCTCGCAGGTGACTCCCGGGCTGCGGAGACGCGCTCTGTGGATCCAAGGAAACACCGAAGGTTTTTCTCTGCGCTCTGGCATTAAAGTTTACTCATGTTCAGGGAAAAGGGCAGGAATTAGTTCGCTATAGAGGTCCGTGAGAGGAGCCCCGGTGATCTCAGTCTGCTTACACGCCTCCCACTCGGCTTCCTATATTGTCTTCTTGTCTGTTTCAACGCGCTAATCTCTTCAAACTTGAGGACAGCATGACAGGAGGACTGAAAGACGGCGAAGCAGACGAGGTACAGTATGGCTCAGCTACAGCTGGCACTATTTTTATTTTGTAAATGTGTAGTCAGACGTTTTTTTCATCTAGGAGCTGATTGTTCCCCCATAATTTGCATCCATGGAGGATAGTTCGATTTTGTCTCCATCTCTGGAGCGCCATGGATCAATCTTTGTATTTTTTTCTTTTTTTCCTGAAACCTCGTCCTGAACGCGTCTCCCACAGAGGCTGAGGGAATGCGAAGGACCATTGAGTGTACATTAGCATGTGGGTGCGAGATTTTACCTGCGAAAACCTTTACTCACAGACGAACCAAATACTCTTTTATGCATCAACCCTATAAATGTGTATTTTCGTGCGTAAAAGCCGGACTAAAACCTCACACATTATTTTTCACTGGAGATTCCACTCAGACGTCCTTCATATGCTTTCACGTGAACTAATGAAACCATATGGTTGTGCATATACATAAGAATGTGCTTGACAGATGAACGAAGGACAGAGTAGCACTGTGAGGATCGTATGGATCTTTACGCACTCGGTTTTTAAAGCAATGGACACATAAACCCGAAACGTTACTTTACGTAATGTGAACATACTGCAATTTCACACGTTGCATTACAGTATAATTGAGAACTTGTGTTTGTTTAAAAATGTAGGCGATATATTCAGAAAAAGGGTATTTGAGCTAGAGAATGGTCTAATCCTTGGAATACGCGCTTTTACGTATTTTCTAAACGCTCACAGGCAGGCTACATGTCGAATCAACTGTATGTCAGGTCAGGGTATTGGATTTCTATCTGGGTGGTGAGGACCCCTTGCGGCTCGACGGAGGGGTGTGGTGCTTCACTTTCTATTCATTTAAACCCATCCCTGTTTGTGGGGCAGGCTGGTGACTTACAGCTCCAGTCTCTCTCCCTCTCAGCGCGCTGCGCATTATTCCTCCTCCTCTTCACCCTCTTCTTTTTCTGTCTCCTCCGGACTCTGACAGGAGTTTTTGCATTCGCCGTTCATCCGAAAGCAAGGGAACATATACAAACCCAACAATAAAGACATGGACAACGACAGTCTGAACGAGAAGACGATGGAGGATGTCCACACCAAAGAGATCGACCTGGTCAACCGGGATCCCAAGCACATAAACGACGACGTTGTCAAGGTGAGTCAAACTTGAAGGGCTGTTACCTTCGGAGCTTTATTTTTGACGTTAAATGTGTTCAGTGTTGTGAGCTTTCTCTATTTTCGTGGCAACTGTTGCTTCAACAAAATACCTGTTGCGGAGTTTAGAGTGTGTTTCAGCTGCTGGGTGCAGCTGCCTAACAATCAGTGGAAACTAAAATAATCTCGGTGAAAATGAAGTCTATGAGCTGTCAAACCGGTGTTCAGTGCAGCTGTGTGGAGCGTATGGAGCGCACGCAGCTGTGCGCACTGTTGCGCGCTGCCGCTCCAGAAGTGCTACCCCTCAGTGACTTTCCCCTATTAGGAAGAAGCTTGCAAATACATTTTAAAGCTCATTGAGGCAATACAATAGCACGCAGTTCTCAGGGGGTAATATCTGTGCGTCTGTCAGAGCAGTGGGCTTGAAACGTGAACATCCCGACCTCACTCCAACAGAGGAAACATTACGAATATCCTGTTGTTGGAACACACACTTCCCACAGTCCTTGTTGCATACGCCTTGCTGTTAGGAAAGTGGAATTCTTTCCATACGAGAGCAGCCTGACCGTGTAAATACTGAAGGTTTATTTTGTTTAAAGGAGTTAGCAGAGGGAGGGACGCTGTAGCTGCAGAGGAGTGGTGCGCTGAAAACCACCTGACGCGTCTGTGTGGCAGAGGGGAGCAGCAGCTCTCTGAGCCCGGCCGCCCCCCTCTCCAGCTGGGGTAGGTTTTCAGATCAGAGTGGGGTCAAACAACTCCCTGCATGGGACAGGACGGGCCAGATCTTTGAAATGCCTGAACTCTGCCTTGTTAAAATAGGGAAACACCCAATTTAGCTGGTTAGTCTGAGGGGATCCCTCAGCCACTCCCCATCCTCCCCTCTTTCCTCCCATGCTACTCCTCTCCTCCCCCTCTCTCCCTCCCTTCCTCCCTGCATGCCTGTAGTTGCGTCAGAGAAGCAAATATCCATTTGTTTCTTTTTATTGGCTCCTGTCAGCTTTTACATCATAAATGACTGTCTGACACCTTTGACTTTCTTGATCAGAAAATGATTATTCCTTAAATGATATCTTACTGTAGGGGTTTTAAAAATGATCTCAGTGCCACGGGGTTTCCTCCCATGTCAGTTGTTTGATCAAGACATCTTGGCAGGACGCTTAAATCCGAAATATTGCCATAAATGTTTTACATGAGATGCCTTACTTGTCACACCACTGTCTAAAAGACAAATGTGCCAGTATGTACACTTTCTGATGCCACATACTGTTTCACGTGTGATAAAATATCATTGGTTTTGTGAGGAAGTAACAGTGTATGTACAAAGGAAGAATTGCACTGCCTAAGACCAACACTTTAGGCACATGAACCGTTTCCCCAAGAAAAGTTTCATTTAATTCTAACTTTAATTTAAATATTTTGGGTGTTCTTTCAGGAAATGAACCTTAATCTCCACTTTTCCTGTTCCCTGCTGGCGTCTGTGCTTATTCCCTCCACTCTCTCCCTCCTCGTTCTCCTCCATTGTGACAGTGAGTCAGACTCTCCCTCTAGTCTCAGAATAGAAAGCAGCTTTATGATTGTCCTGCCCCTCTCTAATCAAGTCAACAGACCGCTGGTGAAATGATCTGACATCACATCCAGATACACTGTAAAAAAAAAACTAAAACTAAAAAGTTACAAGAAACGGCCCAAAACTGTGAAATTTCAAGTTGCAGCCAGTGATGGAAAGTAACTAAGTACATTTGCAAAATACACTTCAAAGCTACTTTTATTGTTATGCATCATTATTCTTCTCCAAGCCAATATCTGCAGTAACTTTGTACTTTGCAGATGTAGATTTTCCAGAAAAAAATGAATCCAAAATTCTAATACATTACAATAAAACCCTGGCAGACGTCCTTCTGCCCACCTAAAGCCTACTTTTACCTTCTGTTATATTGTTCCTTTCGCTCTGTACAGACCAGAGTCATTAAAAAGATCGTTTCATACTGATTTAATGAAACCGTACAGTATTCTGAGGAGCCTGTGGCCCTATTTTTTTTTTACAAACCCTACGGTGCTCATTGCCTCCCCCTGGATTTCTAAATAAATTCTGATGAGCCCTTAGTTTTTACAGTGCGCCATATACAGCAGCTCTGAGGTGCTTTGAGGTCAAGGAAACAGCTCTGCCAAGTGGAAGCGTGTGTTTGGTGTGCCCCGATGAAAAGCACACGCAGGGAATCCCTTCCAGCAAGCCTCATTCTGCAGTCCACCGTGACCACACACACACACGCACAGCCAGTAGTGACACGTAAATGTGTGTGGTGTGCATTCAGTTATACTTCACCTAGACTGCGTGGACACAAAGAGACACACACACACACACTGCATTCTGGCAATCAAAGGAAAACACGCTGTTCTCCTGTAGCTGCTGCAGCTGGCCTCAATCACCTGGCCACATCAAATAAGTTCCATTACCGCCATGCATGTGGAGTTTGCTCTGTGAGGAGAGTTTTTTTCCCCTGGAGAAGTTGTGGGTCTTTACATAGCAGAGAGGAGGGGTTTGAGCCCAGCAGAGAGTCGAGTGAAAATGCCCCCACTGGAGAAAATGTTTGAGAGGGAGTTGTGAGAAGTTTGTGCTCCAGCAGCCGCAAATGCAAAGTCCTTAAGGTCAAACTGAGTGGAATGAAACACTCCCTCTGGGAGCGCAAAGCTTGGATTGGTTGACTTTTGATCGCATTTTTACTTGACAGTCTCATTCTGTGATTTTGTAGATTTACTGATATCGCTGTGTAAAACTCACATCTCCATTCGCTTTGATGATTTCTGAGCTTTTATCAGGACTGATTACACACTCCTCTGTGAGTTCAGATATCTCTTCAAAACTCAGTGCACTGACACTGGTTTCCATCCAAATGTCATGCAAATTTAACAAACACTGTGGAAAAATCACAAAAATGTATGCAAAAGATACAAAACAGGGACTCAGTTGAAATGATTAAATATTTGGCACATTGTTCTCTCTAACATCTACAATTAGGATACACAAGCGTTTGTGTGAAGCTCATCTCGCTGGTTTAGTGACATTTGGCAATACATAAGAATTTGCACACTACATCTTAGATGTGTTGAGTAAATGTGACACAAATTAGTGGTAGTGTTATAATTTTGTAAGTGCTAGAATAATTACTCAATCAAAAGTACACTTGGATGCGAAGCAAGTCCTGTTTAAGTCAGAATGGTTCCAAATGTCTCCACTGCCAATCACCCTAATCCGTCTTCTCAACCAAACCAAACATTCCCCCTGCCAAATGAAGCCCTCAAACCGAAAAAAGACTCCATTAATTCTCCCCATTATGACCTTCTTCTCCGCAGACTCACTTTGTCAGTTCAAGCATAGTCGACAGTCTGAAGATAGAGCTCTGGAAATAGCACATGGCCTTATTTACTCAATAATACAGTTGCCTTGGTGACCAGTCACATGCTGACCCCGAGACTCCATTGTTTAATATCAAACTTCTGATTGGACTGCAAAGGCTCACGCTTTGAATCAGCTGCCACACACAAAAATGCCATTATGATGCTTGAAATGCTTTTTTTTTTCTTCCTCAAACTTGCTTGTCACAAATATTGAATTGAACTACTTTACTTTTTAGCCTTTTTTAATTAAAAGCTTTAATTTAATTAGGTTGTCTTTTCAAAATCCCATTTAACAACACTGGTTACCAGATAAATCGCTCCTGTAAGATGGCAAGAAAAAAAAATCTCCAAATTTAACAAGTGGGGATTTTGTTTTATTGGCTGTCTGTCTTGAGAATGTGATGGATTTTCTTCATAATGTTGTGCATAAATAACAGCATCTAAATCCTAAAACCCTGTATAGTTTAAAAAGAAAAGAAAAAAAAAACTGCTTCACTTCATGAGGTTAAAAACTCTCTACCGTCCTGCTGTGGTTGTGTTTGTGCCGCTCTGCAGAAGGCTCTCATTTAGTCTCAATCAAAGTTCTGGAAACTGGCGCAGAGTGGGTGCGCTTTAAAATTTGTAGCTGTGGAAAAATTAAATGGATGCCGCGCTGGTTTTGTGGCTGCAGTCAGATTTATATTATAAGGCTGTAGCGGCCTTCACCAGTTGATGCTGTGAGAGAGGCTGCTTGGAGCAAAAGAATAAAAAGGCACAAGCTGCTGTTTTAAGGCACGAAAAGTAACTGAAGAGTCCAAAATAAGTTGTCCAGGAGTGGAAAAACATGACATTTACACTTACATAATGAGTAACAGCATGGAATGAGGTCCTAAGATGTGCTTGTCCCCACTCATTTTAGACAGACACCAATACTACAATAGGTTAGCAGCGGGTTAGCGGTAGCTTCACATGCTACAGATATTTTACTAACATTTTTAATCTACTCTGCACATCAAATTAGAAAGATATTTCACCATGTCGTCTAGCAACTTGCTCCTCTGTATACCGTTTTTGAACCATGCCTCATTTATTTTGTTTTGTTTTCCGCTCAGCCTCTCTCATTTGTTTACATGCTTGTCTAATCATATTTATATCGATTCTATAGATGTCTGGCATTTTCAGATTAAATTTTGTTCACCTAAAACCGGCATCAATATTCAGCATCTCTAAAACTGGACAAATGTATACCAGTTAACCAATCACATGCTTCTTCAGAGATCTAAAAATGATGAGTGTAAACCATGATGTATGTTTCCATCAACAGACAGTTTGAGCATCACATCTTCCATAAAGTGGATGAAAGCACTTGGCATTTCCATTGCAGTGTCAGTGTGACACTTGATATTATCTGCACGACTTATTGATATTACAGCCATTAGCTCTCAGTAGCCTGGCTGCACTGTTAGGCAGGACACGGTCTCCAAGGAACTGTAAAATAAATATTGACTCTGCACTCAGAATCCTGTCAAGAGGATGGGAGAGAGAGGGAGGGAGAGTAAGCACTGAGTTGCAACTTTTCCCTCCATTCCTTAAAGAGCAGCGCTCAGGACACATGTAGGGATCTTCACGTTAAAGGCCTGAGAGATGTGCTTTCAACGAGGAGAAACACAATGTCCTGGTTAATAGGAGGTGGAGGAGAGATCCAGCAGACCACCTGCCACTCAAACCAAACTGGAATGTCTCTTTCTTTCTGTTGTTTGTCTCATCAATTCCAATTCAGGAGGCGCTGGAGACAAAAAATCTCCAAGTTGATTTGCAGAAAGCAAGGCAGATGCCAGAGATAAGTGTGTGAGAGCAGCAATCAGTATTCTGGGTGTGGCAGATGTTGGACTGTGTACCAGTCGCTGCAAGGGGAGATGTAAATCTTGCCAGGAATCCCAAACTTCAACTCTGCAAAACTGACACATATTAAGAGGGAGTGAAGCAGGTGATTTATGTGCAACTAATGAGTTCAGATTTGAGGACTATAAAATGAATGTGGTGGTTTTATTTGCACCATATCAGGACTCTTGTGAAACGCTGTTGGCAGTGGAAGAAGACGTCTGATGGGTCGTAATGATGAGTCTGAGCTGAATGTGGCGTTTCGGTGTGCTTAAGTTGTATTTTTTATGCTCAGCAGTAAAAGGATCAGTCCAGTCACATCTCAGCAATGGTCTGGCAAACAAAATAGGACTTGAAGTCATTTTACTTCATCCAAACAAGTTTGTTAGTAGAAAGTACTTCAAAGAAATACGTGTGGAATAAAATCTAATAAAAGTCTTTCATTATCTGAAAACCCCCGATTTTGCTAATGTCTAAATTTGCCGGTGAATTTTCAGATTTTCAGACTTTCAGATACATGAAAATCTGGTTCATCCCTTGTGACTGCATTTGTTTATGTTTGTTTTGTTTTAAAAAGCCGCCTTTAGCCTTAACCAGTTGTATGTATGTGTCAGTTTGAACTTTTGCTTCCAATGTGTTGGTCCTAAAATCTTCTGAAGAAGCTGCTTACAGGAGTTTTAATTCGATTGAAGTCATAAATTCAATATTTGTGATGATCAGAGCAGACAGTCCGAGTCAAAAACCAGTTTGTTAGCAATTTCCTCATGACTGAGTGTTTGTGGTTTGACTCAGTTTCACTGACAGATGCATCCTGGAGTTCACATCTGTCATTAGATTATTGTCAGATTCTAAATGCTCCTTTCTCAGACTAAGGAGAGTATAGACATTTCTATACAGAGTCAGTATCGGCTGTTTCACTTGGCTAATAATTGTGTGTTTGAGTAGGACCACATCCATGACAACAAGAAGCTGATTGAGTAACATTGTGTCCACAGCCTTTAGTTTCTCACTTGTCCTCTTTCTTTTTCCTCAGGTGGACTTTGAAGATGTGATCGCAGAGCCTGCAGGGACCTACAGCTTCGATGGTGTGTGGAAAGCCAGCTTCACCACTTTCACCGTCACCAAGTACTGGTGCTACCGGCTGCTGACAGCGCTGGTCGGCATCCCCTTGGCGGTGATCTGGGGAATCTTCTTCGCCATCCTGTCCTTCCTGCACATTTGGGCCGTGGTGCCGTGCGTCAAGAGCTACCTGATCGAGATCCACTGCGTCAGTCGCGTCTACTCCATCTGCGTGCACACCTTCTGCGACCCGCTGTTCGAGGCCATGGGCAAGTGCTTCAGCAGCATCCGAATCCGCATGACCAAGGAGGTGTAGCATCCAAAATCAGGAGGAGGAGTATTAACGGAAAGAGGGGAGGGAGGATGGAAGGGCAGGAGCAACGCAGATGGAGGGAAAAGACAGAACAAGAAAACAAAGAAGAAAAAAAAACCTCTGGAAAACGAGAGGTGAGACTTTTCCAGAGCGAGGCAGGGGGATGTTTGGAGGCGTGGTGTGGTCACATGGCGCCTCTGCCCGCCTTTTTCCACCAGCTGTTTTTTCTCTTCTCTTTTGGCGTAACCAAATGGGTGGGTACAGGAAATCAAAGGGTGATTCTCCCGGGTTTTTGTTGTTGTTCTGTTTGTGTTCTCTAGTTTTTTTGTTTTTTTTTTTATTCCTCACTGTGTCAAGCAGGCAACCGAGCTCTGTATGTTATTGTTAGTTTCGTCACATTATGTAAATTCCTTCCATTCTTACTGTGTTTTCAGAGAGCTCCTCACACTGATTGATTGGTGTGGAGAGGGCATGTCAGGGTGCTCTACTGTCACCTCTCGCGCTTGTTTGTGTTTGTTTTGTTGTGTTTTTTTTTTTGGAGCCGTGGGGCGGGATGGTGGGCTGTCGGGGTTGTGGGGGTCAACACAGAGAGAAAGAGTGAGCACTGCCAAATTATGTCTGACTCAGCAAAAACAAAACAGCACAGCACCCTCTCTCCCGCTGCACCACACGACCTCCCGCCCACCAAAAAAAAGCCGCCTCCCTCTCCTCCCCTCCCCCCCCAGCCCTCCCCTCTTTGCCCTGCTCTCCAGCAGTCTGACACACTGAACCTGCCCTCGTTCCTGCATGCACCTACGTCGCCTCGCCAGCAACTCGCCGTCCGCCACACCCACCACGCTGCCCAGTGACAATCTGCGTCTCGGCTCACTCGCTCTCTGCACCACCTTCTTACTTCACCTCAGTTGTTTTTTTTTTACAGGTTTCTCACCTTCATACCTAAATGAGTGTGTGACAAGAGAATGTTAGTATTTGAATTTTACAATCCTGTTCTTTTTTCTTTTTTTTTTTAACTCCATCCTGAGTTTTGTAGACAAATTTAGACCTTTTATTTTTCACTGAAGCTCAATACTTTTAAATGCACATCATCATAGTTCCATAGTGAAAGCTTTTTTTTCCCGACACTATGAATATGAAGAACTTAAGGAGTTGATTTCAATGCTATTGTTTTCATATCCTGTATGTACTGTATGGGTGCTTTATGCAGAAAATAAGAAATCTCTGGCCTCCTTCCAGTGCACTAATCTAATGGAAAGTATTGCTAGTGACTAGTGCTGATAAAAATCTCCTTTTTTTTTATATTTGCAAAGGTCGTAGAGTACTAGCAGTGCGTTTGCACACTTTGCACGCAGACTGTGCATCTATAAGCTTGTGTGGAGATTTTTTTTGCACACTGTGGTACTTACACAGGTTAATGCATTGGAATTAAGACAATATGAGGTGGAATGTGTGATTTTGGATGCATTTTTATTTGTTACCTGGACATAATTTTGCACCCTCCTCTAGCTTTTGTCTTTTTAAGTTTTGTTCTGCTGCCCTACTTCTTGTACTGTGGACCTGATGTAGAGAAGCATCAATATGACAGCTCCAACCCCAAGATCCAGGGATGGGTGGGGTTTCTGGGTGGGGTGGGGATGCATTATTGAGACACTAAACTCGCTTTGACTCTGTCACCTTCAGTCTACCTGCTGTCTTCTCAGAGGGATGGTAATATCTTAGCACCTGTTTCTTGAAATGAGTTTTTTAAGCTCTGAAGGTGATATTTTTATAAGATGATTTTCCTTCCTTGCTTTTACTGTATAATATCACGCTGTGCACATTAAAATTTAATATAATCCATTGTGCATTTGTTTATCATTTACTATCCACAGCTTCATTACCAGGATCACGAGCATGTGCCTCTCCATGTAAGTCAAAACTTAACAGCAGCTTTTTTGTTCTTTCTTTTTTTTTGAACTTGTGATATTGAGTCATAGCAAATCTAATTGTGTAATGATTCACAGTAGATACTTGGAGACTGGTTCCATTCATGTGTGCTGCACGAACCAGCCAGCTGAAGCTACTTTGTGGAAAAAATACATAAAAATGAAGCCGGAGCAAGAGTAACTGAAAAATAATTTCCAGCAGCGGTGCCCTCAAAAGCCTCTGTAGTATCAGAGTCTGTGTCGGTGAGGCCTAATGCCTGCAGTGTTGCTCATAGGCTTTTTTTCTTTCCGAGCCTGGCACATTACCATGGTTACCCAAGAAACAAATAAAAGTGTTGTGCAATGCTCCTGAGACTGAGTGTAGTCTCTTAACTGTATTCAAGTTAATTTACTCAAAAAGTAGGCACATAATTACACAGCCTGAGGCAAACCTGGATCCTCAGCGTAAACTCTATCGTTTAACAGAAATGTGTTGAAAATGAAGTCGACTTAACAATGGTTCATTGTTTTAATCATTCCGGGGTAGCATTCAAGGACACAGTGAAAAAGAAACAGAGATTTACAAGATGAGCAGCTCAATGCTTCCACCAGGATGTTGTCTCAATTTGTGCATCAGTAATTGGTAGAGGCCTCACGTATTGTCATTCAGTAGCTAGAAGTATGTGGACATCCAGACATTACAGCCAAATGAGACTAAACAAGTCATTTCAAAAAAGCCTCTCCTCTTCAAGTTTCAAGCTTTCCACCAGATTTTGGAACTTCACTGGAGAGATTTGCTCACATTGAGTCAGAACAGCACTAATAAAGTCCAGTACTCGGGCAATAAGGCCTGGCTCCCGTACAGCATTTCAGTTGATCCCAAACATGTTGGATGGGGTTGAGGTAAGGACGTTTAGCAGGTCAGACAGGGGCAGTGACATTATGATACAGAGAAGAGTTTTCCCAAAGCACTATTACAAATTGAAAATTTATGTTGCACACAAAGCAATAAGATGTACCTTCCCTAGAGCCAAGGGGCCTTCTCCAAACATGGAAAACAGCTCAGATGTAAAGTGTCCACATATGCTGTTGCCCAAAAGTTGGAATAAACATTTTTTAAAAATCTCTTCTCATGAAATGATTGTGACAATGCGGCTTATTCCTGATAGATAAAGTCTATATCTTCTCAAAACTTTATTGATATCACAATATGCATAAAAACATATCAAGGTAAAAATTAGACCACAGTTAACCTTTGCAAACTGTATTTTCAAGCTTAAACAAAGTTGGGGGTATTGAACAATAGGATTAAGGGTTTTGTTTCAATTTTTCAACCTGAGTCAATTTAACAGGAAACACATATTTGAGGGAATTTCATGTGTTCGAATGTCCAGTATGACTCTTTCAAATGTCACTCAGTCACTGATGTTGAGTATGACCACCCCTGACATGGATCAATGCGTTAAGACATCGTGGCATACTGTCCAAAAGCTTGCTGATGGTGTCAATGGGCAGGGCGTCCCACTCTTCGGTCAGATCCTGAAGTCAGAATTTGTGTCGCCTGGTAACTGGGAGGGGCTGCAAGGTGGCGCAGTTGGTAGCACTGTTACCTCACAGCAAGACAGTTGCTGGTTCAAGTCCCAGTGTGGACACCAGGGATCTTTTTGCGTGGAGTTTGCATGTTCTCCCCCGTGCAGTGTGGGTTCTCTCCGGCTTCCTCTCACAAACATGTTGAGGTGATTCTAAATTGTCCATAGGTAGGTCCACATGTGAGTGTGCTTGGTTGTCTGTCTCTAAGTGTAGCCCTGTGACAGACTGGCGACCTGTCTAGAGTGTCCCCTGCCTTCGCCTTAAGTCAGCTGGGATAGACTCCTTTTTTATTGTCATCATGTGAGGGGTATTTGATGTAGATCTGCAGACGGCTTTGAAGATTCTTGAAATGCCTTTACAGTCATAAATTACTAAATCGGAATGCTAACACGTGAGAGTCATACATCTGGTCATGTGGTTTCCTATTCAAAATAATGCAACCAAATAAGTAGAAAGTTCAGCAAAGTTCATTTAAATCAGTAAAATTCTGGGGAAGAGACATGATGATAATTTTTTGGAGGGGGTTTCTTCAAAAAAAGGTGTTGGTTTTTGGAATCTTCTTAACACCCAAAAACTATAGAGACTTGTGAGCATCATCACAGTTACTAACTCCTGAACCTCAACAGATAAGTCCTGAAAAGGATGCAGCCATATGCTCTAGTAGAGTGAAACTTGGTTAGTGGAAAATATTTCCCAAGCTTCACAGTGCAGGACCAAAGCAGATGTAACAAGAGGATGAGACAACACAGAGACAGTTCTGGTACCTCCCTGCAGATGACAGTGGCACTTATGACTCTGATGTGATTCAAACAGAATGAGAGGTTACCACCAGCTGTGAGCTCATTGATCTTCTGTGTGCTGATGAACAGCTTGTTCAGGAGTCTGATCTTTTCTACAGACTGCTGACATTGGGGTGAAGTCTACAATTAAAGAGGGGTTTTACAAATGTAATAACTTCCTTAAACTACTTTGCATCTCCATTGATCGTAATAGAAGTTGTTGTTTTGTTTATTTTCTTAAAGGCAGCTTTAGATTTAACTTGGTTTCTAACTTGATGACTTGGTGATTATAGAGTTCCTGTTGACTGGGCTGCTTTACAAAGCTCAAGTATGTTTCCAAAGCCTGCTAATTAATTTTCATACTAGCCAGCACTGAGTGCAAATCCACAACAACTACAATGGTTAGAAAATACATCCAAAACTCTGCAGGCAAATTCATGAAAAGTAAAGTGAATGTGGTTTATAGATTCTTGTTGGTCCAGTACTGCATTGTCTGGTCCTGGGGTTGGGGTGGACACCTGCCTGAGATGTTTTTCTTATTTTCTGCAGAAATGCATGTTGGGGAAAACTCCAACGTGCTATGAATATAGGACAGTAAAACACAGTTTTTTTTCCCCCCAGGGTGGATCATTTTGAGTGGTTTCAGTTTGAGCTGTGTTGATAAAGCTGTTGCTTTTTCAAGGCAACAGCATCCTCTAGTGGAAAACACTGAGAAGTGCAGTTACTCTGTGTGGCTTTACACTGGATGCCTGTCAGCTTTCTCTTCAGTGTCTGCATTTGTTTATTAATCTGTAAAATATGACCATGCACCTATAAGAAATACATCTAATCTATGGACAAAAAGCAATATGATGCTATTTTCAACCGTTATGCAAATAGTGTTCCGGGTGATCCAAGAGGAGCTAAAAATATTGATAATTATGAATTATTAGATGAAAAGCAGCCTGGATTTTATTTTTCTGTTATGATGCTTTGGTTTGGGCTGCAATGTGGCTCGGTGGTTAGCACCATTGCCTCACAGCTAGAAGGTCGCCGGTTCTTGTCCTGGTGAGGACACCCAGGATCTTTCTGTGTGGAGTTTGCATGTTCTCCCCGTGCAGTGTGGCCTCTCTGGGTTCTCCGACTTCCTCCCACAGTCCAAAAACATGTTGAGGTTAATTGGTGATTCTGAATTGTCCGTAGGTGTGAATGCGAATGTGCCTTCGCCCTAAGTCAGCTGGGATAGGCTCCAGCCCCCCTGCAACCCTAATGAGGATTAAGTGGTGTATAGATAATTGATGGATAGATAATCGATGGATGGATGCTTTGTTTTTTAAATCAAAATTGTACAGTTTTATTGTACTCTTTTGCTGTATGAATGTGTGTCTTTTATTCTTCTACGTATATCTTTTGTATTTTTATTGTACTTTCATCTTGTGTTGTTTTTGATATGTTACTTTCACGTTGGTGTGCATTCGTCTCGTAGTACATTTTTATGATCCCATCAACTACTTTTATTGCACTTTGAATTGCATTTTAAATAAATAATGTTTATTTACTGATTGATTGGTTAATTGATGAAATGTTCTCACTTTTAAAATATCCATCCATCCATTATCTATACACCGCTTAATCCTCACTAGGGTTGCGGGGGGCTGGAG